AGACACCATACATAGGCGCATCAAGAAATTGGCAAATACTATAAAATGAAAAGCAAACACCGAGAGAGCAACTCCAATGATTAAACGGTTTTGTCAGTTTTGGGGCTTCTTTTCTTCTTGCTGCCCCCTCCCTCCCGCCTTCACCCACTATCTCTATTCGAAAGGATCTCGCATGTGTGTGTGTGTTCGTTTGTTTGTTTGTATGTGTGCAACTAGTTTGAGCAGCTTGTTTATCTAGTTGTACATTTATTTGGCTAACTGCCTTCAACCGCAAAATGTTTTTGTACCGTTTACTCTCGTTTATTTTTATTTTACCAAAAAACCCATCTTGTGTTACCTATCTCGCTTGCACTCGCTGATGCTAACGCTCGCTCTCAACGTAAAATTTTACGAGGCTCAATTGTGGCATATTTGAATTTTTGCACAGTTTTATGGCCAAACAACTTGGCCCAAAATAGCAATAAAAAAAAAAAGTAAACTGGTTAAACTAAATAAATAAATACAAATTGCTTAAAATAAATAACACGAAAAAAGAACATTTACGTGAGGAAAGTAAGAAAATAAGAGAAAGTGAGAAAGTTCAAGTGGAAAATTCAAAGCAATTATTGCAATTAAATTTGTGTCTGTATTTATTAAAGATAAATATATATTTTTCATTTAGTTTTATTGAAATGAAACGGCAAATAAATCACTTTTATACTTTAGTACTAAATGCAAGTAACAGAAAGAAGAAAACATATTGCCGAGAGAGGCTGTAAATGAAACGAGCGTCTGACATTGTTGAGTTGATATTTCAAACAGATTTTTATTCGTTCAAAATCCTAGCTTAGATAGCTAACATGAGAATGTACATTTTTGATCTTAGTTCTAGACCCACGCATCGGACAGTTACCGATCGTGGGAGATACTCTAAGTGCGATAAGGGAGCACAAAGTCACCCCGATAGCACATATGGTATCTAAAACAAAACCAGATCTCTCGCAGGAGGTCATATTTCGGGTTGCTTGTACTTACGTAGGCCCAAGTGGCGGTTGTACTTATAGATAGACAAGTGCAGTACATTGTTGCAAAGATACATATGCATCTTATCTATGTGTAAAAGTGTTCGTGTGTTCTTTCTGAACACATATGGTTAGATATCTTCAATCATTTTACATTTAATTTTCAGTTTTTTCAGTCATTTTACCCCACTCAGATACGACTGAATTTTCTGCATTTAAAGATTGCAGCTACAAACTACTGAATCTGAAAATTGTTTTTGTGTAACAACTTTTTGACTGTCGCTGCAGTTGCCTGTTTGGAAAAAATGAAAAAATGAAAAAACGAAAGAAAGAAAGAAAGAAAAATCGCCATGATACTTTATAATGTTATTCCGTTGCTGCTGTTGCTGCCACATTTGGTTGTTGTTTTTGTTATGGCATTATCCGACTTTCGCTTTGTCATGAGTGCTTAATATTTTTTTTTTCTCTCTGTTTATTTTTGCAAGTTCATTTCATTTTCGTTTTTTTTTCCCCCTTTTTTTCACCCAATTCCGTTTCGCTTTTGTGTCACTGGGAATGTTTTGCATGCTTGACCATTTTTTTTTAAGGGTATGCTAAAAAAAACTACACAGTTTGACAGGTTCATTTTGATATTTTTGATTAAAAAAATAAAATCACACTTGTTGTAGTTTTTTGTTTAGTTTAAATTTATTCAGGAAAGGTAATTTTTTATGTTTTTTATGGTAACTTTTTTTGAGCTGTAAAAGGCTAGGAAGAAAGATCTTAAAAATATAGAAATATTTAGAATTAAAATCTAAAAATTTTAATATTTCATAACCAAAGACTAGACTTAATTATCATAAAAAATATCCATAATAAAATCTAAATTAAAAACAAATTTATTTAAATTAGAGTAATCAAAAGTCACTACTTCTTTACTCTCTGTATTTGCTTTATTTGTTTTTCCCTTTCGCTTAATATTTTTTATCATTTTGGCGGGGCTTGAGGGGACTTGCACCTACATATCTGTAAATAAATGCATGCATTTCGCTGAGCGCCCCCAAAAGTATGTTATGCCTGTGCATTTCGCATTTCCACAATTCAAAACCAAAAAAAAAAAAACAAAAAGAAGTAAGAAAAACAACCGCCCGCCCATTCGATTTTTATATATGCCATTTTCAATAAACAGACGCCGCTCTGCGAGCTTTTTATGCTCGGGTTTTTTTTTTCTTTTCTTTGCCTTTTTATTTTCTCCTCCTGCGGCAGGCGTTCAAAAACAATCAAATATGGAAATTTTCTCGGACCCAAATCGGCATACAGTATCCAGTATCCAGTTTTCAGTTTTCAGTTTTCGGTTTTCGATTTTCAGTTTTTCCAGAAATGGGCGACTGGGCCACACATAATGCACATATGTGTCCACATCGATGTTGTCCTTGTCGCTGCCACATCCGTCTGCCATATCACCCTCTCCCCCTCTTTTTGACTGCATATTTCTGGGTTATAAAAAAAAAGGGATATATATATATATATGAAAAGAAAAAAAAATATAACTGGGTTGGTGGCGCACAGATAACTATTTTCGATTGCGCATTTCAGTGCGTTGAGGCGGAAATATTTCAATTGTGGAGCTGACTTGTAATTTTTCATGCACTCTAGTTGCGGCAGGCGGGCAAAATTGGGGTGGTGAAATCAGCTGTTACACTTTCATAATATTTCCCAACTCTCTCTCTCTCTCTCTCTCTCTTTTTGGTTCATTTCTATTCCCTTGATGATGGCTGAATAATATGATAAAAGAAGCTGGCACACAAAGGAAGTCAAACAGATCAGAATTCGAGGGGCGGTTAGATATAAAAAAAAAACATCTTCCGAATGTTTTAAGTAGTAAATTTAAGATTGATTATATTAGTTTAAGGAGTTTCTTAACAAAGGATTTTATAAAGCAAATCTTTCGTGGGCCACTCTTTACTTTTAATACAGTGTGGCCCATGTAGCGTTTGCTTTTTGAAATATCGATAATTTTGACTTTGACATCTCAAATGTTGTTGTCAATGTGTCAAATATTTAGTACAAGGTTTGCGGTTTACGAAATGGTTAAGTTTACCCTCGAAGAAAATTGGAAAATATTGATATTTTTATAGCGATTCTTTAGGGCACATCTTTCGTGGGCCAGCCTTTACTTTAAATACAGGGTGTCCCATGTAGCGTTTGCTTTTTGAACTATCGATAATTTAGACTTTCACATTTTGAATGACATTGTCAATGAGTCAGATATTAAGTACACGGTTTGCGGTTTAAGAAATGATTAAATTTACCGTCGAAGAAAATCGGGAATTATTTATATTTTTATAGGGACTTAAAGCGCAAATCTTCCTTGGCCCACCCTATACTTACCATCTTCTTTCCTAACATACCTTACCTTACTTAATTACAGCCTTCAAGTATTTTTAAAATATTTATATAAATAGTTTCAAATTGAACGAAAATTCCTTACCTTGGCAATTCATTTTGGCTTTTTGAAAGCTTTCAAAGGCCGGAAAAACGTATTTTATTTCAAACTCACCACACAATTAATAAAAAGTTCATCCTGAGCTTGTTAGTACCAAAAGTGTTCTCAATTTCTTAACAACAAATTCGATGGCTCAGTGACCAATGGAAGTACAATCATGGTCAAAAGAATAAGAATTAATAATAGATAATATAAATTTAGTTCTTAAATGGTTTTATTAACTTAATAATTTATTTTAACTTCTTTTTCTAGAAAATTCTTACCAAAAATACGTTAATTTCTCCAAAGACCACTATTATTTTGTTCACCACTGTACATATATGGTTGGAAATAGCAATGCAGTAAACCGCAAATGTTTGTTACTCCATTACGTTTGTGAGAATGTGTGCGTGTGTGTGTGTGTGGCTGGATTTCTGTGAGTGGATGGGTTAGATTTTGCTTTTCAAACCCCCCTCCACCGACTCCTCGAAAATTTATTGCTGGCATTTGAAAAAAGATTTTCACTTGTATTTTAGCATTCGGCATCGATGGCCAACTCCCAGCCCAGCAAAACGAGCGACCCAAAACGAACCAATTATCCCAGAGAGGGTGGAATGCCTCGAAATATAGTAGTGGAGTAGCTGCAGCAGCCAGAGCAGTAGCCCAAAAACCAGGAGGTTGACACAGAAGGATCGCCCCCCCCCCCCAATGGCCAACCCCGGCACCTTCAATTATCGGCTTAGTTGGATCTATAGTACTCAGTCCTGTTGTCGTGTAGCCCTTCGATTGCTGCAGCTGTTCGCAATGCATTTTTTTGGGGCCCAACTAACAGCAAACAGGGGAACAGGAAACGGAAAACAGACAGAAAACTGGAAACTGGAAACGGGCTAGGACCTGGGCTTTTTGTTGGCCGGCATTCAATTAGGTATCGGTCAGACCAATTCACTGGCAAACTGGACACAGATTTGGCGATGGGGATGGCGATGGCGATGGCTATGGCGATGGAGATAGACGATGGCTGCACTATTGTCAACACTTCAATTATCGTAACAACAGGTAAAAGGGGGTTATCTTTTAGCTTTCTTGGCATTCCTGGCATTCTTGGCCCTTATAGTTTGGCTAATAACTTATGTTAGAAGCAGAAAAGATATAACTTTTTTATATATTTCAAGTATTATAGTTGACAAATTTCAATGGCTTATCTGCAGTGCTTTAAGGAAGTTCATGATCTTCAGAAAACCAAAATAAAACTGGAAAACTAAGGCTGGTAAATCTACTAACTAACCTAACTAAAGGAGGTAAATCTATTAGCTAACCTTAACTATTTTCCTCAACTTTTACAAACTACTTCTTTATAAATCATGAAATTTTATATTTTTATTACTTACGACTAAGAAAACCAGAAACTTTGACCCTTTGAAAGTCCTGTTTCCATTTCCAAACTAAGCAAACAATCCCCCTTTTTGGCCATTTCAGTAAAACGCAATCTCTAAGGAGTGTTGACTGCGGCCACCAAATCAATATGCAACATTGGGTTATTCATACGCCCCATGGGACGGGCAAATAGCCATTGTTTATTTGTATGTCTGTGTGTGTGTGTGTGTGTGTATTTTGAGTGTATTTGATTTGATGCATTTAGTACTTAGGACAACAATTACGTTTAGGTTAACTAGCATAAATCTATAATCATCACATTATGGCACAATGTACGTTATGTAATATATATATATATATATCTATATCTATATATCTATATATATAATATATATATAGAGAGAGTGAGATATACGTAGATATCGTTTGATATAACAAATGAAATTTTCTGCTAATCACACGCTTAATTATAATCACTTTTGATTTAAATGAGTCACTTGTGATTGGCTGGCAAATTTTGAAGCCATCTTTCTGGTTTTTCTTGAGTTCATTTTTTCCCTCTCATGGAGTTCAACCAGTTCCAGTTTTAGTTTTTAGTTTTCTTTATAAATACATAGATATCCATGGCCTAATCACGCTATCAGGCGATTTATATTACGATTTCGACGACTACCGGCACCACCATAATTACTACCATAATGATCACCATTGATTTGGGTCAATGTTGTTGTCGTGTGTGGTACATATAGACTTGTATTATTCCGGGCATGTCGACGTCTATAGCGATAACCGGTTATCAATTCACGTACTGTCTTACGATATTTATCGGACAGTACACAGTATAAGAAAAAATTGGAAGCAGCATGCAAAGAGGCCAAAAGATTGCAAACATTTCCAGCCACCACCTGAGTGCCAACCTGTATGTCCATATACTGATTGACTACCAAATAGATAGCCCATGGCAATTGACAAACGATGAACATCAGAACGACGGCTATCAATGTTATGGTAACACGATTTTCCTGCGATACGCTGCCTTTGATTCCAGTATTCGATTTGCGCTGTTTTAGGAGGTTAGTTATTAGTTTTTCACAGAAATAACTTTTTAAACTCACTTTTGTCCGTCTAATGCTGCTGGCATTGGTTAAATCACCACGCAGATTCTTTGATCGATGTACTAGTAGTATGAGAAATGAGTTAAAGGTGGCCAGAAGGAGTAAAGGTAATACTACAAAGACCAGCAGTGTAAACATATTCCACAGATTGCTGTAGAGCTCATCTTGGCCCAGTTCTGAGAGGCCATGATTGTAAATGGTAACCTGAAGAATAAAGGAAACAAATTGGCAAAATAAAAGAAGTAAAGAAACGTAATCTAAGACCATAACTCAGCCAAAAAAATATATTAAAAAAAAAGATTAAATCAGATCTTGGAGATAAAATGAATTCCCAAAACTCCTCAAACTAAAAGAGGAGTCCAAAATGCCAAGCTTAGATATGGGTTTAAGATATCTATCATAGTCTTGTTGTCATTTCTATTCCCCCCTCATGTTTTCCAGTGGTTAACCTTTTTCTCTTTTCTCCCTCTTGGGAAATCCCCCTGCATTTTCAACACATTTCACTCACATTTTGACAGTATTCCGTTACATTAAATGCAAATGCATCTGTATTGTTGATGTTGTTGTTGTTGTTATTGTTGTTGTTTTCAGCACTGCGCTTGCTGCGCAACAACAATTGCAACAGACTCTCAGTGGCACTTGAACCCTGCTCTTCGTCTTGCTGCTGATCTGTCTCCTGTTCCTCCAGCGTTTTTCTCAAGGTGGGAAGAGTCACAAATCCCCTTGACTGCCACTGACGGCGATGTCGTGGAATGTTCTCTAAAATATAAGAATTAATATACAAAAATCATATAAAAAGAAAGTATTTTAACATCTAATTAATATGTTTTCCCTTTTTTTCTAGTTGCATACTCACTCACCTGCTTCTCCATCACCGCTGCCACTGCCCCAGTCGATGAGCACATTTGATTTGCCAGCGGTTGTCGTCGACTCCGTGTTTAACTCCGTCGATTGCCAAATGGTTGCCGGCGTTGGCAGCGGAGGCGTTGCCAAAGGGGGCGTGGCCGCCACGGATGACGTTGGCATAGGTGAGTAGTTGGCCAGCGTTTGGTTGCAAGGCTGGTAGGCGTCATCAATCAGCTTCGAACCGACCGTAATTGTGTGCTCGAATGCCGTTGAGAGTGTGGACAGCAAACAAAAGAAAGCAACGGCTAGCGATGACAAAAACAAAAGCAAAAATAATGTTATCGATAAGCAAGAAGTAAAGGAGATTGCTGTTCTAGGCAGGGTTTAACTGGTTTTTTGACTGAAAGATTGAAAAATTTAAATATTTTATTAGAAATTTTGTCAGGGCACTGCCCATGCCCAATCAACCTCTTAAAACTCATTAAATCTATCACTAATCTTGTTACCTTAACCCTCTTAGCTCACTTACTCACCTGCTATCACCTTCTTGGCCAGCGATTCCGTGCAGAATGTTTGTCTCTTGAGGGGATAGCGTATCGCTATGAATCGCTCGATGGTAAAGCACACGGCTATGTAAATCGAGATGTAACCTGTCCGGAGGAACGTAGAAAGCAATTGTAAATGCATGTGGGAGTACAATACAGATGCAATCAGTTGTGCACTTGGAGAAAAATCTAAATCAATCTTTAAAACTAACTTTAACTAAGGGTAAGTACAGAAATATTTTTAAATAACAATCCTATTACTAAGGAAGTCTCTTTAAAATTTGTTACATTTCCTAAAATAAGAACGTAAGACATTTCTTTCTGTGTTTTGTGGAATTATAAATACCCGTAGCTCCTTTGTTAATCCCCCGGAATACCCAGTTTTGACCCCCCCACACCAATTTATTCGCTGCCTGGGCTGTCAATTTATTCAAAACGCTGCGCACTCTAAACGATTGACGTCCGTGCTCCGCTGATGAGTAGCGTTTTTTGGGTTGTGGACTGTGGGTTGTGGCCGTGGTAAAGAGTCGTTGAAAAAGTGAGGAAATTGTAGGGGGAGGAAAAAAAACGAGTTGGGTTGGCAGCGGTGGGTTATCGTATGGCAGTGAGCCTCAGCTGACCGCTGGCATTTCGCAGAAAGCGCTGCTAACTATACCTCGTAAATTGGCAGAGCTCAATGAAATTGATGCACAACAACAGCAGCAGCAGGAGGAGCAACAACAGCAGCAGCAGCAGCAGCATCAGCCGCAGGTGCAATTCAAATTGATGGAGCCCATCCCCGGGAATCTGTGGGTACTGGGGGGAATTTATGGAATTCACAGCCGTACACTTTCGAATTGCTCTCCAAAATGTTGTATTCGTACGTTTTAACCTCAAATGTAGATGTATTTTATCAAAGGGAATGTGTTGTTACTACAACCTGATAAGTTCTAAGAGACTACCGATAAAGTTACCTTCTAATATGTAGGCGTAACTGTAACCTCGCTAACAATACCTTAGTAAATCCAAATCTAAGGTAATCTTAACCTAAGTTATAAAGAATTTCTACCCCTATATCATCTTTTCAACGATCTCCAATTAATACTCACCAAAACTATCGCACAGCCAAACGAAATAGCCATAGAGCTGCCAGTAAATTTCAACATGAAATTTGGTATAATCGTAGTGCTGGAGTGATAAGATTAATTGACAGGTCAGGTAGGCAATATCCGTGATGGCCAAAGCCGTTAGATAAATGTTTGTGGTGCATCTCATTCGCTTTCTAAAAATCCGGAAACAAAAACAAAATAAAAGAAGAGAACAAATTAGAAATATTGGCGAAAGGAATTGGAATTTGTGTTTATTTTGGATTTTTCGGCGCATTTCGAAATCAGGCCAAAACCATTTTGGTGGACAATGGAAAATGCTGCCAAGTGCAACACCAATTGAAATAGCAAATTGCCTGAAAGCAAAACGGCAAAAAGGGGTTTTTTCCAGGAGTGTGTGGGTTGTATGATGACAGTGAAGGCTACTGAATATTCGCCCAAGGGGGTTTGGGCATTTTACCCGAAATGCGCACAAATGTCGGCACAGTCATAAAGCCAAAAGATGAACAATAAAAACTAACTGTTAACATTTAGTTTTCTCTCCGGCAAATGCCCGCAGCACTGCTGATAGTTAAATTTCCCCTCACAATTCTCACAGAAAACCAAATAAAGAAATGAAAACATTAAATTAAAAAGCCATTCATGGCAGTCAGGTTACTTGAAATTCCAAAACAGTTGGATTGATAATGGTTATATCCATTAGCCGAAGGGGCCATTTACATAGCTTTCTGTAAATATTTATTTTGGATTTAATTTAGGGATTAGGAATAGCATAGAAACAGGATAGATTCACCTTCTCGTTAGTCAGACCTTGAAATGGACTTGTATTTTCCACTCAGTTTTTTTTTCACGGGAAATGCCCATATGGTGTCATGGCAGTCAGCCTGCCACACAGAGCACTTGCAACTGTCGCATATTTTCCGGCAAACATAAAAAACACACTCGCACACTTTGCTTATCTCTGTCTCTGTCTGTGTGTGTGTGTGTGTATGCTACGCTTTTGCATTTGGCACATAAAATGGCTCTTATTGTTTCACTTATTGTTATTGTTGTTGTTGTTTTTGTTGTTGTTATTATTGTTGCTGCAGTTGCTGTTGGCGGTGTGGAAATGATTTTAAAGTGCAGCGGTGGCTACAATTAAATGTCGTGTTTAATGCGCTGCGTACCTGTCTCGGTGCTTCATTCGTGTTCCACTTGTTTCGCACACATACCAATGTACATATGTACATACAGTTTGATGCACAGAGAGAAAAACTTTGGTGTTGGGTGATATTAAAAAATTGGAAAATTAAGGCCTTTGCTAAAATCTTTCAGAGAAAAGTAAATGGATTTACTAAGGAACATCAATTTACTAATTAAAATAAGGAAAAGGCTGTTTTTAGAATAGTTTAAAAAATTTTACAAAATTGAAATTGCTTAAAAAATATTCTTGGATAATATTAGTTACCTATAATTGCCTAAGATACTACCAAAATACGATCTGAATCTTAATTAGATTTAATTTAAAATTTAAATTAAAAAAAATTATTTATCCTTTTGTCTTAAAAATCCTTTTTATATAAAATTCTATTAAATATTTTTCATATTTCAATTATATTTTATTTATATTTATTTCAAAATATTTTTTTATTAGCTAACAAAAAATCTAAAAACCTTAAAAATTCCCCCAAATTACTCTTCTTATTAAATTTAAATATCCTTTCAAAGCTATCAAATAAATATTTTGCCTGTCCCTGTTGAATGCATAAAATAGCAGTGCCTGAAGGCCACGCCCACTCCATTGGCCAAAAAATCGGCTGGGCTATAATCCAGCAACAATAACAACCAGAAATGAAGAGAGAAACAGTGGTGAAAAGGGGTATGTGGAAGGGGCAGGATCAGGAGCAGTGGCAGGAGCAGGGGCAGGGGCAGGGCCAGGGGCAGAGGCAGTGGCAGGGGCTGGACATGTGTGGGGGATACAAGTGCACTTACCGCGTCAAAACATAAATGCTCACTGAATTTCCCAATAGTCCAATAACAAAAACGCACGGCACCAAAATGCGTTGGACAACATGCCGCACTTCCGCCATATCCGCATCCGAAAACATTTCGCCAACAGTCGCGTTGCCCAACGTCTCAGTCGCAGTTGCCGTCGCAGTCGCTGTCAACGTCGACGTCGTGGACATTGTCATGAGTGCCACGCCACGCCTCTGTCAGCAAACTGCCGTTGCCGCTGCTGCCTTCCTTTCGCCGCCTATCCTGGCCACTTGAGTTTGGCAACCCGTATCGGTTGCGTTTTCAACCGATTTTCCGATTTTTTCTCTGCTCGACTCTGACTCCGATTTCAAATTCCGTTTCCAATTGCACTTTTGTCAGTAGCCTGGAACGCCCACTGTCACGCCCACTGGAATAAAAATATAGAAGAAAATGGTAGTTGAGTTTGGGGATATACGAAAAGTGATAAAGATATTAAAACTTATGGAAATAGAGTTAAAAAATGGGTTAAAAATATATAGAATTAGGATAAAAATTATATAAAATACATTTTTTAAAATAATTTTTAAAGTTTTACCATGAATTAATTTGCAAATATAAAGATAATCCTTTAATCTAGTTGAGATTATCTTAAAGTTTATTTTTGATTTTTTCCTTGTCATTTTCTAAGCCTAATAAATACTCCAAATTCTTATATAAATTCCACAACTTTAGTAGCTTAAACTAAAAATAATAATTGAAATGGAAAACCATTTTCCGCGTATTTCCAAGGCTTCCAAATATTTATTCCCCAAATGCACAATTGTTGTTCTAGTTAAGGAAAATAAACAAGTGGAAATCCAACACTTTGCAGCGATATAATTTCTCACGCTAATCATTTGATATCCTTCCGTATCCTGGTTGGTTTTCTTCTTTTTTTGTTCTTCCTTCGACAACACGGAATGATTTATGGCCAACTTGGATTGGCATTGATATTGGCCAACAATCGGACAGATACAGATAGGAGTTTGGTCAGGAGCAGTGGAAGTGGCAGAGAAGTAGTAGTTGCCCCGTAGCTTTGTCTTCCAGCTGTTTCTTGCAGATTTTCTACAGCAACCACTCGAATATTTGCCTCGAATTACATTTTACACACACAACCATACACCCTCGCACAACCACCCGCCATTGAAAGTTCACTTATTTATTTGGTTTTCAATTTCGGGGCTTTTTTTTCGCTTATTTCTTTTGGTTTTTTTTCTCAGTTCGAAACAACGCCATGCTACCAATTTCCCCACGATTTTTTCAACCACCCACAGACAAATTGCGCGTAAAATAAAACTGAAATTGCAATTGTGCAGCACAACAACGACAACAAAAACATAAGCAACAAAATAGAAATACAAAAAAAAAAAAAAGAATAGAGAAAATCGCAAATAGACAAAAGAAGAGCAAGGAATTGGAAAGCGTTTTAAAAACAATAAAAGTGGCAAATTCACAGTCAAGTTACCACCGTTCCTATCGCCCCACCCTCGACCCCTTCGAAATTCGCAAATATTGCACGTACGTGAGTGAAAACAAAAACCTAAAACCGAAAAACGAAAAACGATATTCGTTGCATTAAGCGAACTACAAAAAAACCAACAAACAAACAAAAAACAACAAAAAGTGGTTGCAATATACAAAAATGCTTTTATTTTTCACTGGCCACATCTGATGACATTTTAACCCCTCGAAGGTTTCTAAAAACAGATTGGAAAATTCAGGAAAATTCAGCCATTAATTGATCGTAAAAACAAACACTATTACTTGTTATCAGACTTTTTACATTTTTCGTTTATATAGTGTTTGGGTTATGTTAATAAGACTAAATATGTCTTAAACTTAAACTAAGATATGGCTTTTATGATTTATTTAACTTATTAATCTTAGACAATACGATATTCAGGAAAGTTTATCACGTTTAATGCATCAAGAGTACCTATCACATTTATTCCTTTAATAGTTTTTAAGCATCTATTTTTGCAGTGCAGTCCAGCGTTTGCTTTTCACAGAAAAAAGAAAGCACAGACCACAGTACCTATAAGGTCCCTGTCTGAGTTATCAATGAATGAATATGGAAATGGTTGAATGAATGCGAGATTGAATGAATGGGCAGGAGGAATGAATGAATAGATGACTAGCTGGCTGACTGAATAATTGAATGAATGCGTGAATGAACGGCGTCAGTGAGGAAAATGCCGGAATATGGTTAAAATGCCGCTGAGTGGAACGGAATGGAATGGAAAACAGGCTTATATATATATTTTTTTTTTTAGTTTTTTTCCTTCCTTCCTCCTCAGACTGTACTTAGTTGCTGTGGTTGCTGTTGTTGTTTGTTGTGGCAGCCGCAAGCAAACAAAGACTTTTTGTTGCCGGTTTTGTTGCTTTTGTTGGAGCTTTCTATGCACATCTCACTCATTTTTAAGCAACAGAATTATATTTTTTTTTTGGCAAACCAAAGTAAGGGGTAGTTGAATAGCTCTAATTTTATAACTATAAGACATAAATATTTTTTTAGAACTTAATGTTGACAAATTTACATTTAACAAATTTAAATTTAAAAATCAAGAAGAAGAAATAAGTTAAATATACGTATACTTAATATTACGTATACTTTATATTACGTATACTTAATATTACGTATACTTAATATTACGTATACTTAATATTACGTATACTTATTATTGCGTATACTTGATATTATGTATACTTAATATTACGTATACTTAATATTGTGTATACTTAATATTACGTATACTTGATATAACGTATACTTAATATTGCGTATACTTTATATTACGTATACTTAGCATTACGCATACTTGATATTACGCATACTAAATATTACGCATACTTGATATTACGCATACTTAATATTACGTATACTCATATAACGTATACGTATTTCTCCCACGGTATTCCCACAACCGATAGTATCCTTTTCCTAACCATGGACACCTTTCTGTAAATGTGTCATTCAGGCAGACACAACAAAAGATGCCTAAATTAGCACACACACCTAAGCACCGACACACACACATACACCTGCGCGGTTGACAGTTACGTGCGAAAAAAGCAAAGAAGAATTCTTCAGATTTTCCTCTCCCTTCGGTTTTTGTTGCTGCCAGGCCGCGTTCCAGTTATTTTTTTTTGCATTTCGGCCAGATGCAACAGAAAATTCTTATATTCTTCTAGTTTTTTTTCCCCAGCTTTCTCCTACCTTTGCATAATTAGTGAGTGGCTCAGTGGGTACAGCAACAACAACAACAACAACAAGCAGAGAGAGAGGGAGAGGCAAAAAATAATAATAATAATAGCAACAAGAGAAGCTTGGGCAAGTCAAGTGGCTGTGTGCCATTTTCTCAGCACCTGCAAAAAATGTGCCTTGCTCCTAATTGGCAGCCAACTACAAAGAGAAAAAATAAAAAACGTAGAAACTGGCTTTAAAGCTGCGGCCCAAGAAGCCAGTGGGGAAAACAAAAAATAGAAAGAAAAGCCTGCGGCCGCGTTTTCCCTGATTAGGATAAGTTGCATTTAAGCAACATTTAAAATTAACTTTAAATTGAAAACCAGTCTGACAGAAAGTCCTAAAAAAAAAGGCCACAAATGTTTACACTGGAAAAGGTTACAAAATAGTGACTAAAAAGTATTTAAAAATCTTGGATAAAATCTATAAAATTTAATATATTTTGCTCTAAATCTCTTTATAGATTTTCCTCAAAACTAATAACAAATCTAGAATCTTTTACAGATTTACCTTATCATTAAAGAAATTACTTATAAACTTCGTTTCCTCTGTATAAGCTGACCCTCTGCCCAAGCCCACTGGCCACATAAATCCACGAGGGCCAAGTCAACGGTTTTTGGGTTTTGTTTATCGTTGGCCGTCTTTCCAGACCGGCAGCACTTCATCTCCTTAACCCCAGTGCATTTTGTTTACCCAGAACCAGCAGCGGCAACAAGATAAAGTCAAATAGTTACAACAGCATCATGACAAGGCAGCCCCAGTCACTCACTTTGGAGTTGGAAAGAGTAGGAAAGAGTCAGACAGAAAGAGGACGCAAGGGGACGCAATAGTCAGACAGAAAGCGAGGGGCAAGGGGCCAGTACAGTGAGACAGAGGCGGTCAGTCAGTCAGTCAAACAGTGAGTCAGTCAGTCATTCCATCAGGTTACCCTGAGTCCGAGTTTTGGAGTCAGCAACCAAGGCATCCATAGCAGTCTTTGTGGGAAAACAAACAGGAGCGGAGTTCTGTGGCAAGCAAGGGTAGAATCCACTATAGAGGGTCTGCAAAAAGGGGGGGTCGGCAGTTCCGACAGCTTCTTCTTTTACTTCAAACTACAACAACGAGTGCGCTAAACTACACTATACCGACTTTGTGGCATTGAGAACGTCGGCAAAAACCAAGTTAGCAGCAGTTCAAGTAGTTTAGAGTCTGTGATTACCCTAGCATAAGAAATTAATCTGAAGTTTAATTGGAAGTTGAATTAAAATGAAGTTTTATATGGTTATTGAAACATTTGAAAGTTTTTTATATATCTAGTTTAGATTTGGGCTTAAGAAGAAGACTCTTTGTAGTTCATCACATTCCCAAACTAATCCCGCTACCCTTGACGGAAAAGTGCAGGAAAAAATATGCAAGTACAGTTTGCCTCAGGTATTTTTGCATTTGATTTTCAAGTTCTGTCTCGTCGTAGCCGGACATTTGTGGTGAGTGTGGAAATGAGAGAAAAAATGGCTGCGGTAAAGACTGAAGTACATTGGAGAAGTAAGGAGGGATACGGATAGGGATACGGATAGGGATACGGATGGATGATGGTTGTCCGGGTTGAGGCCAAGGTGCAGCATTGCCGTGACAGCCCATCAACTTGCATTTCCCCCGATCTACCATCGTCACACCCCAGATTTTTTTTTTTTCGTCCATCCATCCCCTTGCCCTGTCTCCTTTCCTTCTTTTTGATGATGCCTCGACTTGGCAGACAAAATTGCATTTCGCTCAAGGTGTGACCAGGTCCGAGTGCAATGGGAAGTCCCCTGCCAAGCATTTATAAATCGTGTGACAAGCAAAGGTACACAAAGAGAAAAGTAAGGAACTTTAAAAAGGGTAAGTTTACAAAAATATTTATATTAATATATTTAATTAAATTTTAAGAGGTGTCACTTAAAAATCTTGAAAAAATACCAAATTTAAAGCAACTTTAAAAAACGACACCCAAAATGAATATTTTTCTTATTTAAATTTAGTAAATTCTATATATATTCTTTAGATTAAATGCCAATTGAAGTTTATACTAGTTTATTAAATGAAAATATGTTTAAATTTATTTATTTAATATTTATTAAAAAATATTTGTACAGTAAAACCTTTTTTTGTTACTAAAAATGTAACTT